TTCAACCGGCCTAAAATGGGATGAAACATCAACGTGCCAGAAAACGTCAATTTGTTGATAAATGTGTCATGTTGTAACGTAAGGTTGAAAGATAGACGATATTAACGTTAAGATTTACATAATAATTAATGAACTGGTCGGCGAAATTTGGTCTACGCGAAGACGTCATTTCAACGTATTTAATATTTCACTTAAAACGTTATAAATATGAAACTACGGACTGCGTGCTGTTAATAAGATGCGTTTAAGACATAATAATGCGGGCAGGTTCAAACATTACTTGTAAACACGTTGAAAAGACGTTCGCGTATAGACCCGTTTTCAACGTGATATATAATATCGGTGGTAAACTTACAAATGTGGACGTAGTTTATTTTTAAACCTCTAAAATAATGATATGGCACACAAGAGAGGACGAAATATTACCGTATTCTAAAATCACGTTGAAATGTGGTCTAAACATAGACGTCTTTTCAACGTCTACGAATAGACGTTGAAACAACTTTCACTTTTAAACCATTTTGCAACGTCTTTCCAACGTCTGGCATAGACGTCTTTTCAACCAAAAAATGCTCACCGGGAGAAGTCGAACTACCTCAAAGTTGTAACCTGAGTTACAAAGTTACTTTCTGCTTTCAAGAAGCTCACGTTGTCACAGAATTTCCATCGCTGTTGCACCACGGTTGAGGTCTCGGCTTCTCGTTCTTTACGTTGCAACACGGTCCGTTTAGCAATCCGAATTTCACAGAGGGGAAGCGAGATCTTCATAAGAACTGGACCTGAACACCGGAACGGGAACAGAAACCCGCCCCGCTCACACCTGGCTGTCCTTAAAGAGGTCAAAGTGAGACGCTTTCCCTCTGGTTACAAAGTCAACTCTCCACTTCTTCTGATGAAGAGAGTGGGATGAGAGGATGGACATCGACCTCGTGTCTGCGTGCGCATCACTGAGCCAACCAAGGGCTGCTTAGCTTAGCTTAGCATAGCATAGCTTAGCTTAGCTCAGCAGTTCAGTTGGTGAGTTTGTTTGTGTTGCTGTGGAACTTTATTGAATCTCGATCTGTCCCTAAATGCTTTGCTACAGTCATGCTTGTTATCATTAGATAATAGATAAATAAATAACCACTTATTTCTGTTCATTCAAAGCTTCCTTTGTGGGCTACTTGCCTTGTTCCTCATTTTCAGTCTTTTTTTTTGTTTTGTTTTTATCTGACTTTAACCGCTCATGGCTGCCGCCTCCTCCCCCCGGATTTTGACATCAGTGATTTCACTTTTTCGGTTGCTTCAACAAATAGCAGAAAAGAGAAGTGGATTCGGCCAAACGATAAAATAGCCTCTTACAAGAGGCTTTTACCAGAAAAAGAGCTTTGAAATGTCTTGTTTAGCTACTTTGCGTTTATATCAGTTATCTTTTAGTACTGGTTTCAAAAAATTAATTCATTCTATGACCTTTAGTTTTGAGTCTTCACAAAACAGTTTTATGGGCTTAAATTAAGCTTAAATATGCACAACGTAATTGTTCTTATTACCTGGTAACTTAGGGATGATTCTGTCCTTCTTTTCTATCTCGCCAGACTCAATGGGAAACATCTCCTTCAGTGATTTCTGCGACCAAAAACATTTTATTTTACTCAACATTCAGTCAGAAAAGCTTTTATTTTGTAGTACAGACGGAGCTCACGTGGAAGGTGTAGATCTCTGGATACGTCCTGTATATCACCTTCTCCGAGAGGTCGCTCCATTTCACCATCAGCATGTAGACCTGCGCACAGCACATCACACTTTAACACAACCAGCATCTTCTCTGCATTCTGAGGAGGATTCTCAGCCTCTCCAGCGGGATCCGCAGCGTGAATCTTCTGGATCTTACGTAGTGCTGACTCGGGTACGAACGCTTCTCGAAGCCCAACAGCTCCACGTGTCTGACGTAGTTCTCCTCCATGCTGAGATGCAACTGAGATGAAGCACAACACACACCGGGCTTTTATACTCTGTGTGTGTGTGTGTGTGTGTGTGTGTGTGTGAGAGAGAGAGAAAAAGTCAGTTCCTCTTTACAAGTCAACGAAAGTCCTTTTAACTTCATCACGGAGAAAAAAAATAAGCAAATACTTTTTCTTCAACATCTGTTGTAAAGATGATGATGATGATGATGATGATGATGATGATGATGATGATCATAAGTACTGTACCGAAGCACAATTTTGAGGTTTGCTACTAAAGTATTCACATTTTGTGCAACTTCCTGCTTCTAATCCACTCCAGTGATGTTGTGCTGTTTACTACTACGTTTATGGTAAAGTTTCTTTACAGACGCAGATTATAAATATAAAAATTGTAACCCAAAAATCATAATGTAATAAATGATGTTGTATTCTAGATTATACATTATATTCTCTCCATGCTTCTTAACCATCACGTTAAGAATTTCCCCCACATTGTCCAGAGTGGGAATCCCCGAGTGGTGCCACAACACATCGGTTATTCCTGTTGCAACTGCTCTTTGTGTCATTCACCATCTTCACTTGTGGGCTTTCGGCTCAACTTGTGAACTTAGAATCAAGCAATGGGGAACGCACACACAGACACACACGCACACACACAATCCGTCATCAACAAACGTTCTCCTTTTATGGTATTGGGGAAATCGTACTAGTTTTTACTGTTAACTTTCACCTTGACAAGTGAAGAATGGGTTTGCCTAAAGGCCAGCTGCCCCTAATTCCTTCACAATATTGGCTATCAGGACATTTCAATAAACAACTTGAAAGTCTTTCTTTTGAGTCACAATGACATGTAGATTGAGAACCATTAATATTTACGACAATCAAAATGATTCGATTAACCTTAATGACATGAATAAAATGTAACCACAATAACCTTCCGTCCAGAATATTATCATAGTTTAGGTTTTATTCCTAAATCCGGGACGGACCTTCCATCAAGTTTCCGTAGTGTAGTGGTTATCACGTTCGCCTCACACGCGAAAGGTCCCCGGTTCGAAACCGGGCGGAAACACATCTTTTTTCTTGACGTAACCGATTTGTACACGTTAATAAATAAAATCCCTAAAATGTTTCTATTCATTCTCTATGGCAGCTCTGATCCACTGCGGATGTAATATGTGTTTGGCCTGTGAGCAGTTATTCATGTAAAAAGTCTCTCTGGACACATCCAATAATATGTCCTCTTTGCAATGACAGACAAATGGTGCTCAGGTTTTGTTTATTTGTTTCTACGACCTGAAGATTCTTAATCACTAAGAGTTCAGCTTGATTGCTGTTTCTGCATCATTATTATAATCTACCAGAGATCAACAACAGGCTCAGGAACAGGAAGGAAGGTACATGCATCGTCATTCAGTCTATTCATTCAAACCAATTGGTCATTGTCATTGTGCTCATGTCCCTTATAAAACCATTAATTGATTATTTGTGGGGATCCGTTCTCTCTGTTCGAGTTTTGGGCTTGACATTTAAAAAATACATTAAATATAATTTGGATTTATTTCTTGAATTTCTTTGAATAAAATATTAATTTGTTTTCTCTTATTTTTATTTAGATATAGCCTCACCGAGGGGAAATATTTTTCTCTAATTTCTCATTTTTTAATCATTTTTATAATGGAAAATAACATCAATAAAGGAAAGGTAATAACAGGACCAATATTTGGGGCCCAGATCTGAGCCTTGTTCTTTTCTTCTACTTCAGCTTAAACTCATCTTCATCTCTCCCATCACTTATAAGTTCCGATTCTGATGGTCGCAGTTCAGAATTAAGAAAATGTTTTGATCATATTATATCATCAAAACAAGCTTCTCTAAAAATAAAAGAGTGTTTCCGCCCGGTCTCGAACCGGGGACCTTTCGCGTGTTAGGCGAACGTGATAACCACTACACTACGGAAACTGTACCATGCAGAGAGAAGTTTAGACATTTAAATTATGTTTGTAATTCTCTTGATGGTGAAACAGGACCAATATTTAGAGCACAGATCTGAGCCTCATGTATTGCCTTCTTCTTCTACTTCACGTAGCTAAAACTCATCGTCATCTCTTTCGTCACCTAAACGTTCCGAATCTGATTGTCGCAGTTTAGGATCACGAACATGTTTTGATCATATTACATCATCAAAATAAGCCGCTTTGAAAAAAAAAAAGAATGTTTCCGCTCGGTCTCGAACCGGGGACCTTTCGCGTGTTAGGCGAACGTGATAACCACTACACTACGGAAACCTGCAACGACAACAGAAACTTTTCTACTTAACTGGTATCATCTGTTGGTCTCGTTGTTATCTTGACGGTGGAACGCAGGTGAGAATCTGTATTAGCTGAGCCGTCTGTCAGTGCTCTCTCCTGGCTTGACTAACAAAGAAAGTCCGCAGAAGGTCTTGAATGAATAACCGGCCGGTAAATTCTCACAGCGCTGCGCTACTAGCGGCCAAAGATATATTACATCCGTAGTGGATCAGAGCTACCATAGAGAATGAATAGAACATTTTTTAGGGATTTTAGCTAAAGAATAACAAGAAGACTGGGGTTCAATTGCCCGACGGGAAGAATCTTTATTTTCTTTCTGATGTAGTTTTACTTGTTTTCAGATGATTCAGAATGCTGCAGCACGTCCATGCAGTGGCTTCTTGTTAAATCGAGAATATAATTTAAAATACTCCTTTGCACCTATAAGGCACAAGCTGGTGATGCACCGTCGTATCTTAAGGAGTTTAAAGTACCTTTAACAACAATAATACTGTTGAATTAACGAATACAAATCCATGACGACAAAAAACACAAAATGTGTTTCCGCCCGGTTTCGAACCGGGGACCTTTCGCGTGTGAGGCGAACGTGATAACCACTACACTACGGAAACTCGGTGAGAAGACGGCTCCAGTAACTCGTTAAGATTTTAACTCCTGTTCTGTTGAAAAAAACGAGCGCAAATGACTCCTAGAGTTTTAATATCCTTCTTTCTAAAACAATATGATGAAATGCGATAAGAGCTCATGATTGTTTCTTTCTTTTTTTATTTTATTTACAAATGTCAAGTGAAACAAGAGAGACAGAAACACAGTACAAGTTACATGTAAAATTTTGATGGGATGAGACGTCTACAGGCTGTGGATGATTTTTCGGTTCTTCAGGTTCTGGACGTACTCTTTGGCCTGATCAAAGCTCGTCTTCTCCTCGATTTTGGGCGGCGATCCCTCCACCAGCTTCACAAAGTAGTGGCAGTTAACTTTGTCCATGATGCCAAACCTCCCTCTGGCGTGGTAACGGATCCGCTTCAGGTACATCCCTTTACTGGAGAAGGACTCCGCTGCAGGGGGGGGGGATAAACACAGAGAGAGATAATGGCTGGAAGCACATTTCATTTAAAACGTGCAAAACAACAGTTTTGTCTGTCGGTCGCAACTCACATTAGTCACAATAACTAGAAACAAAGTATCATTTACACCGCAGTCTCACCTGGTTAATATTGGTATTAGACACTTACCCACATACAAGTTGGATTTGTACTCTACATTGTGATTCTTGACCGCCATCTCCTGAGCTTCCTCGAGAACCTGATTGAATTAACAAAGAGCTGTGACATGTAATGACACTTATGGTGTAAAGGTGCAATGGGGGATGTTGGCAAAATAAAGCATGATGAATAAATAAAACAATATGAGCAGGAAAAACGGTAACGGAAGGTGAACATGCACCTACGGACCTCTTTCATGATCTTTGCTCCTTTCTTGTCGTTGAAGGACAGCTGTGCGATGGCCTCGTCGATGCTCATCCCTCGGATCTGTGAAAGAGAACCAACCGTGTGAAGAAACAATGACTTGTGTTTTCTAGCACCATGTTTAAGTGAAACCTGACCAGAGGGGGTCTCTGGGCAGAATGGCACTAAACCACCGGAACAATATTCAACTAAGTGCAGTACAGCATAGACTGAGAATATATGTGGAGAGGTGTGTGTAACAAAACCATTTTCATCACATTCCTGTTGACATTTTAAATGACTCCGCCATGCAACTAAGCCAGATAGAGCCCCACTGGTATTTGGTTTACTTTTATCTAAGATGACTGTCAACAAACAGGCAGAAACTTTAAACATTTGACTGTGGCGAAGATACGGTATTGCTGAGGGAATTCTCGGCTGTGGGTCTCACCATTTTGGCCAGGTACCACATCTTGTCTTTGCTGTACTTGATCTGCCTCCGGCTGTGGTGGACCTCCTGAGGAGGGAAACCCCACAACGCACGCAGATATTTTAAGAGAGAACTTATGAAAGTGTGAGGCTTATGGAGCCAAAACAACGTGATTAACAATCTTAAGACACTGGAAGGATGGAAGGACTTGACTCCTGCAAGTGACACCTCGCCGAGACGTCAACTTCATATCACGGGGAGGATGGAAAGACTTACTGCTGGTCTGCGATCATCATCTAGTCCCTGAGGCGGATACACCTTCAGGTTTTTCCTCTCCCAGTTCTTTGACTCCAGCGACGTGCTGGTGTGGAGACATGCCAGCTGCTGTGGATGAAGACCCCGTAACCTGGAGGGACATTCGTTATCTGCACATGTACACAATCATATGTGAGCGATCTGGACCTCTCTACCACCCATGCAGGTGTATCCAACACAACTCTCTCCCGCAAGCTGTTTCGCGTGTAATCAGTTGGCGGTGTCGTGTAGACGACTTGCATACACGTTTAGATCTTTCTTCAACGGCCAAGCCAGTTAGGATAACATGGGCCAAGTGTGTCCTTCCGCAGAGACATTGGCAGCTTAAGTTAACGTTACGTTGACGTCAGCTACTATCTTACCTTGAATGCAACACTCCGGATAAATTCCTAATAAAAGCCATACCTGAAAACAAAGTACAAAACCGTTTAAATACCGCCGTCATACACTATACATGTGAAACTAGGCTGCAGTTTTCATACCATGTCCTGTCATTGCAGTCGCCATCTTGCATTTTTACGACACTATCGCGTCTGCTTGACGGTAGTTTAGTTTACAGCCTCAACAGAGATATCGTCTTTGCCAAATATTATTGTTATTAATACTATTATATTTAAGGTATCTTACAAGTAGTATTTGAGGGGATAATTTAAACGCGGTGATGGTTGTTTTATACAAAACAATGTAATTTTGAAACGGCGAACTCGAGGTGGTTTGACCCACCTGGGATTCCGTATTCGGCACCGGCAGGATTTACGACACCACGCTGTCCGTACGGCCGGTGATGTAGTCGCTACGACAGTGCAGCTAACATGTGAGAAGTTTGGTTTCACCATATAAGACTTTTCTCGGATAATTCGTACACGTTAAGCGAATCGAGGCGCCATGCACGAAAGGTCGCTTCCCGCCTCCCCCAACTGGTACTGCTCGCGCTCCAGTGACGTCAACGACAGCGGTTTGTTGGGCGTCGGAGCCAAAAACGTCATCTTTCTGATCGATGTGTCCGCATCGTCGTGCAGGGTCACAGGTGAGCTCCAACAACGTGCAGACGGTCACTGCGGTTCTGCTCCTGCAGCCTCCGCGCAGCTAAGCGTGAACTTCCAGCTGATCGGATCCGCTCAGGTGGTTCGATGGCAGCTAACGGAAGGGAAACGGACCTCTGATCACCTGGATTGATTGGTAACATGCACGGTCTAATGCTGACATCATTGGGGATTAACTCAATAAATCAGATATGCTTAAGTATCTTTTGGAGCTGCTGGTCAGACTACATTTGCAGCTTGAAGTCGTCCTCCTGGACAGTGGAAGGTTATGATGGGCATTTGTATAAATATATCTCATCAAATGGCTATTTGAGTGATGTCTTATTGCACTTTAAACAAAGTCTGGGGGGGGGACCCAGATTCTGGCCCTTTCTAATCCATCCTCTCCTTTCCCGGCCATGGCAGGGGAGCTCGTCGGCCACAAGGACCTGGTCTCTGGCTTCTCCTTCTGTCAGCATGCAGGGCAGAGTCACATCTGCGTCAGCTCCTCCAGCGACGGGACGGTTCGCTTCTGGGACTCCGACAGCAAGGTTTTACTCCGGGAGCACGCGGCTCACCAGGTGAGGGTCCGCTGCAGGCCGCAGGCCGCACATCTTCAAACAGCAGCCCGATCGGAGTCTTTCCCCTGGAATGCATTTGACACATGGTACCAACAGGAGGTCCGGTCTTTGTCTCCCCCCTATCCACCCCTCCTCTCCCACACAGACCTCGGTGGCGGCGGTGCACTGGTCTCCAGTGGACAAAAACCTGGTGGTGTCGGGGGACGAGAAGGGCGTCGTGGTGTGTCACTGGCACAACACGGGGGACACGGCCAGCTTCTTCCCAGAGCCCCGGACCATCGTCTGCCTCACCTGCTCCCCTCACACCTGGAGCTCCGTGGCCGTGGGGTGAGACGGCCGCAGAAACTCCTAACAAAGTCCACAAATCATGATCTGAACCAAAGGGGTGTGGGGCGTTTCCATCGTAGTGGGGTCCGACTTTTTCGTTCGGCCTGGAAGGTGTTGGAAATCATCTTCACTTTTGAACCCCTTTTTATATCTAATAATGATCAGAATCATCTTTATATGCATAGATGGAATTTGAGTCTGCTCTCTATTACAAAAACAAAGCACATATAATAACAAACAACAGAATTTGAGAAAATGGAATATATATATATATACATACAGAAGCTGAAGAAGGTTGTGTCCAGGATGTGCTACTACTACTGATAATAATGATACTTAAAACTAATTAAGACAAAATTCCATTTCTATGCACTTGTTTTTAAAGGAGCCTTAAATCATAGTACATGTATATACATATCAGTGATTTGTGGCGGCGGCATCATTCTGTCCAAGGTACAAAGATGGGATGATCGTGCTGATTGACGTGAGCAAGAAGGGCGAGGTGATGCACCGTCTCCGTGGACACGAAGATGAGGTCCACTCGCTGGCGTGGTCGCCGGTGGCCAGCGAGGAAGTCCTTCAAAGCAGACCCGAGGACACGGAAGGTAGCGGCGTGCAGTCATAAGGGAAATAATGACAAACAGCCCTTCCTTGGTTGGCCTTTGCTCAGTGTAGTAGCAGCTATTTCCTTTTTTTAAAAATGTTTGTTAATTCTGCAAAAGTAACTCCGTTTTGAGAAAAGGGGCAACGAGCGTGTGTTGTCCCTCCTCCAGCAGCCGGCGGCGTGTCTGCAGGAGACGAGAAGGGCTGCTATCTGGCGTCTGGGAGCAAAGACCAGACGATGAGGATCTGGAGCTCGGCGAAGGGAAAAAGTAAGAGATTCTTTCCAGGTTTGAGCTGCAGAGACAGAAGTGACTCTTTAAGACGTCTGCATGAAGACGCGTTGATTTCTGTAGAAGATGAATGATGAAAAATGTGGTCAACATTCAAGAAAAAGGAGAAAAGTAATTTTTTAGGGTCAAATTTTTTAATTTAATTGCAAAACAAAAGCTAAATTCAGCTTTGTTTCCTCGGTCTTTCAATTCTGATATTATTTAAATGAAATGACCCCCCAGGTGTGATGACTCTGAAGCTGCCGTATCTGAAGAAAAGAGGCTCGGCGGTCGACCCCGGCGTCAAGGAGCGACTGTGGCTCCACGTCCACTGGCCGACGGGACGTCCAACACAACTGGTGTCCAGCTGCTTTGGGTACACACACACACACACACACACACACACGTCTTATGACACCTTCCAGTCAATCAGCCAAATGGCCAGTAAGTTTATTACTTTTGGTGTATTGATCCTTATTTATATGCTGCTGTGATCAGGATCCTTAAGAATAAACCACAAAGGATTTATAATTTTCTCTGATCCGGGTCGTTCCCTTCAATCGCTCATCCGGTGCGTGCGTTCCCAGCGGGGAGCTGGTGATGTGGGACCTGACCAAGACGGGGAAGCAGAGGTGGACTCTGCTCGGGACGTCTTCAGAGGGACAGAACCACAGCAGGATCGTCTTCAACATGAGCTCGGTCCGCCTGCAGGACGGCCGGGAGCTGCTCATCAGCACCTCCATGGACCGAGAGGTGGGTCGCCTCCTCCGCGCCTCATGGTCTCCGGGTGGAAGGTGGTGGTGGTGGTGGTGTCGTGCAAAGAGCCTTATGGTCCCCCGTCGTTTTCCAGATCAAATGCTGGGACCTGGCCTCTCTGGACTGCTGCTGGACTCTGCCCACCCTGGGCGGCTTCGTCTACGCCCTCACCTTCTCCCCCGTGGGGGCCGGGTGTCTGGCGCTGGGCGTCGGCGACAACATGATCCGCGTGTGGAACACGCTGACCACGCAGAACCAGTACGACACCAGGTCCTTCTGGCAGGGCGTCAAGTCCAAAGTCACAGCGGTGAGAGCGTCTCCCCAGCAGGGCACCGACGTCTTCTGTCCAAAGGCTTTTTTATGTGTTTTGTAGAATAGTATTTCTATTGTAGTCTATGAATATTTAAGAAATGATTAGTGGAAAACATAATACCGTCTAAATGTTTTAATATAACTTCTGATAAGACTGTACAGACTCAACCACTCACAGCCACGGCATTTAAAAAGGACACTTTCCATCATTTGTGTCCTTTTACTGCAGCTGGCGTGGCACCCGAAGAAAGAAGGATCCTTGTCTTTCGGAACAGACGACGGCAAAGTGGGGATCTTCGAAGTCTTCTCAAACAGGTGAGGTGAATCGTCTGAAAGGTTCTTTTTGGTTTCGATGTCTCCCAACGCGTTGTTCCTGACCGCTTCGTCGGTTCTGCTTCATCTCCTGCCCAGGCCTCCTCAGATATCAAGCTCCTACCACAAAAAAACGGTGTACACGCTGGCCTGGGGCCCCCCCGTGCCCCCGGTGTCGTTCGGTAAGTTCCCGCTCCGACGAGCCGGCGATGACCTTTTTGATTCAGCCGCTTGGCATCGAAGCCAAAGACGTGATTTGTTCAAGTTGCCCATTATGTTGTTTTATATGCTTCTGTGACTCGCAGAAAGGTCCAGCGGCTCCGTCTGTCTCGGGACATGTCGGCTGTCCCTCTCTTTCGTTTTTTCTAACGTTCAAATACCGCAGGGTGCTAAAGGGTCCGCGCCATCGCCGTGTGTCCCGTGTGTGATGTTCAGGTGCAGCGGGAGGAAAGCCGTCCCACAGCCTTTACAGCTGCGCCGGCGAGGGCGTCATCCTGCAGCACGACCCGTCTAAGCTGAGCGGCGAGGCCTCGGACATCGACAAGCTCATCCGAGACACCAACGGCATCCAGGTGAGTGGGGACGGCGACGACCTCGTCCTCCGGGCCGCTGAACCCGCCGCCTCCGGGTGTGAATGTGATCGTGACGCTGAGCTCTGCTTCCCGACAGCACAAGCTGTCTCCACACACCGACCTCAGCTGGAAGCCAGATGGGAAAGTGGTCGCCGTCGGCAACGAGGACGGGTGAGTGACCATCCGGGTGTGACCCGGCTCAAAAACGACCCCAAATGTGCCGCGTGTAGTCTTTATGGCACAGAAGGACGGACTGGTGTCAGGTTGAAATTAGGGCGGCAACAACAAATCGATTAAAATCGATTATTAAAAGCGTTTGCAACGAATTTCATTATCGTTTCGTTGTGTCGCGCGATTATTACGTCACTCAATGAGTTGCGGAGATGCGCGCGGAGCAAAAATAAAGGCGCCGGGCAGCCGGCAGTTTTTGTGAGTCACATGACGCCGAGAAAGACGTCTGTTCGACGAGTCGTCCAAGGTGTGTGAGCGTGGGGGGTCCCGGTCCACGTTGTCCCGTTTTGACGTGAGGGACGTAACAAGCCTCCTGTTTACTCGTCATCCAGCTGATCAAGCTAGCGTTAGCTCGCTAATAACGGCAGTAAAGCAGTTAGCAAGACTAAGACACGTTTTTATTTACTCGCCTCTTTTGGACCATTCATTTTTCAATGTGTTGTCTGATATTTAGTTCTTTGTCCCATATCGGTTATTGTTGACAAATATAT